GCCTAGGCCTATCCCACGACAGGACTGTAATAGTGCGGTAGAGATTTAGATTCTTGCCTCGATTCTCGGAGTCTAGGCTAGGAACCAGGCTAAAAAAAGGAGACGGTAGGCGTCGACCCTCGGCGGACTCGAAGCTTAGAGTCTGGGAACAAGATCGATTCTTTGAGTCCTCATTTGGACTCGAAAGAATCGATCCCAGAGTCGATCTTGCCCTGGCCTAGTGATCTCGCATTATTTTTTTATTTTTTTCTGATTTCTCTGCACAGAACTTTTTGTATCTTAATTTTGTATGAAATTCTATATCGTGACTGTGTGCATGTCATGAGTGTATACAGTAATGATTGCTTTTATTTCTGTTACAGAGATGGGAGTTCAAACATCCACAGCCATTCCTCCGAACTCGCGAGTTTTTGTGGCAGGAAGGCCACACAGCATGGGCTGACAAGGCTTCAGCTGAAGAAGAGGTAGTATTTTGTCATGTAGCAGTGAAGCTTTTTTTTCCAGATCTCGCTGTGTCAGAGGATGAAATGTGCGCAATATTAATCCTTTTTCTCATTTCTATATAATATGACAAGTAATAGATACCACCAAACGTGCTCTGTCAGCCATCTGTTCAAGACAGTCACCTGTACAAACCACCACTTTCCACAATCCTTTTTGTGATTTTTGTATTTATAATGACACTGTCCTAGATGTTCATCTGTCTGAGAAAACTTCTTTTCTCTTTGACAATGGGTGACTGTCTGAGACTGTTGATTCTATTCTTTTTGAAAGATTTCTGTTATTGACTTATTGTGAGCAAAATAGATATAAAAGAGATTAACACTTTCAGAGGATGCAGATGTTTAGTGAGTTTGAATCCTATTACATTTCTTTGGTAAGCATTTTTGTTATTAATCACGGCAATGTTCTATATTCAATCTGAATTATCGAACTTTGACAAAGGGATACCCTTTGCCACTTGAATATGTTTTTAAAAAAGTGCCGAAAGCCATTTAGAAAATAAGTACCGATAAGAATATAATGTTAACAAGTAAGCAAATGTCATCAATGTAAAGGCAAAAGGTACAAATTAATATAAGATAAAATAAATCTTTAGAATCCAGATCCTTCTTTACCCTTCTTGTCAGGTAGGCTTTGACCAGTTTGTAAGAAGTTGTAATGCCAGACCCTGCATGTCTGCAATCTTTGGCGGGAGTCATTTTTGTATTTCTGCTGCCAAGGAATGTATTTCATGGATGAATCGGTATACAATTTTTCTTCAGGTGTATGCTATTCTGGAGGAGTATGCCAGAGTTTATGAGGAGCTTCTTGCTATACCCGTTGTACGTGGAAGGACAATGCAGAAAGAAAAGTTTGCTGGAGGTGATTTCACCACAACAGTAGAGGCATACATTGCTGCCAGTGGAAGGGCGATTCAAGGTGCAACATCACATCATTTAGGTAAGGATTTTCCTTCTTTCCATTTTCTCGTAAGTATAAACTTGATATATTTTTTATTAAGTGCACTTTGATGATTGTTTTAATAGCTAATTAAAAGACTATTAGATATATGATTGAAGGCTTTACTGACTTTCAGGGCAGGGAAAGTTGATTTGTAAGTCTCTATTCTGGTTGTTAATGTTCTTGTTTTTTGTTTTTGTTTAGAATAGGATTTGAAGAGGGTTGGTGTTTTCTTATATATATATATATATATATATATATATATAAATATATTATATTACACACACAGTAGCAGTGCAATGCATGATACAAAATATCTTCCCTTGTCCTCAGAGTAAGATAAATGCTGAGGAGAAAACTTTCAACAAATTGAAGAAAGAGTACAAATCTGCTACTGGCGTTGACTGGAAACCAGCTGCAGAGCAAACCACAGCAACCACAACCACCGCAATGTCTTCAGGATCAGACAGTGCAGAGGCTCTGGCACTCAAGGCCAAGATTGATGCACAGGGAGAAAAAGTCAGAAATTTGAAAACGTCAGGGGCAGACAAGGTTAGGTTTATGTCTGGCCATGTCAGGGTCTGATTTAACTTTTAAGAGATTTTTTTTCTCCCCTAATGTAAAGTTATGGGGTAGGCCTTACAAAGTCTTTGCACAGCTCATGGTTGATGTAGAGTACTTAACTCTTTATCTCCGTGGGGGGGTAAACCCACTGTGCTGGGACCCTATTTTGGTACGAAATATAAAATTTACATGTCACTACTAAACTAATAATTAAATTTAAAAAAATTGAACCTATTTCGATAGTTCTTCATCTAATTCATTATCTCCCTGTAAAAGAGACTTGTTTTCGGCAATTGCTGAGAAAAGTAATTTGACGTCGAAGTCGTCTTTAAAGTGTGCGCCCGAGCCGGCTCACCGACCCTGCGTTTCCAACCGCAAGCCGCTGGGAGCGGCTTACTGGAGATAAAGAGCTATTTCAATGCACAGTATTCACTGCCTGAATACTCTTTCAGTTGTATTTTTCATGTTTGTCTGATAAGAGTTATTTTTGTCAAGAAAGTTCAATTCAATGTGGACTTAACTTTTTTCCTGTTCCTCGTTTATAATTTGTAGGCCTATGTTGTTGGACAGTTAAGTATTAAATTGTGTGAAAGTTAAAATGCATAAAATATTTCAGTAATATGATTTCATCTTCATTCAATGTAAGGATGACTTAAAGTTTTGTTAATTTATTTGAATTTACTCTCAGGCTGCTGTAGATGCTGAAGTGAAAACCTTGCTGGGTTTGAAGGCTGAGTATAAAGAATTGACTGGACAAGACCTTGCTGGGGCTGGCAGAGATGCGAAGAAAGGCGGAAAGGACAAGAACCAAGGTGCAAAGGACAAGAACCAAGGTGCAAAGGACAAGAACCAAGGTGCAAAGGACAAGAACCAAGGTGCTAAAGCTAAAGACAAAGGAGCAAAAGACAAAAAAGGTGCATCTGGAGATGCTGCGGATGATGGCAAAAGAGAGGTGAAGAAGGTGACAAGGTGAGTTACTTCCTGAAAAATTTTACGAATAATGTTATTTCATCAGAGATCGTGTTCCTTCTGTTCTTTTTTTTGTTTTTGGGGACAAATGGGTTACATACCTGTAAAAACGAAAATAGAAGCAAGCACTTCATTCTTTCCAATCAAATGAAGTAAGGTACAGTTTTAAAGCTATCTCCTGTCTATGCTCAGGCAACAATAGAAAAGTTTTTTTAAAAGGAACCCCCCCCCCCCCCCATCCCACAAGCAACCACTGTTTTGTTGTGCATTTTATGGATGATTATTATTGCTTGTTCTTTATCCCTGTGTTAACACTATATATATATATATATATATATATAATATATATACAAGTTGTTGTGAAACAGAAATATAAGAAAAGATGTGGACTGATGAAGTAAAGAACCTTTTCTGGCTCATGATTTCTTCCTTCACATGTGGATTAAGAGATCAATAAACTATTGCTGTACCAGATGTTGCCTTGTTGAGTGTCAGCTGGTACCTACACAGCCAAGGGAACATCTGCAGTCTGATTTTCTTACCTCCATGTTTTATTTTCAGAATTTGTTTCTCCAAATGTACATATTTTAAGGGCCTATTTCATGTACAGGCCGACCACATAGGTTTTTGACCTTAGGCAAGCCGTACGGTCAGACGAAATTGAGGAAACTTGGATTATTATTATACACCACAATCGACCTGAAGGCTGCAGCACCTCGCGAGCAACATATTCTACACACTAGGCCTAGTCTGGGTGAAACTTCACACAGGTGTATGCATCATGGCGAGCAAAACAAAATGTGCATGAAAGGAAAATCCTTAAATACAAAACGAAACAAGTAATTCGCGAGCAATTTCCCTAATTTATATTATAGTAGGGGAGTGAAAACATAGCATAGATAGGCCTACTGATAGTATAGAATCTAAAAATGCTGTTTCTGAAATCTGGTATTATTTTTTTATCTACTATGTGATTTTCTATAATTTTTAAATTAGTTATGTTGTCTCTGGCGCTTCAAACTTCAAAGATTTATGGCACTGCCCTCAGGCTGGCAGGCTATTCGCCGGCTGTTCACCTGCGGTTTGAGCCGCATTTCTTTTTACACGTTACGATTGGCCGTACGGCCCAGAATCCTGTCCGGTCAGCCTGTATGTATAATAGGCCCTTTAAAAGAAAAAAAGTATAGGAGACTAAATGAAATTTCTCAGATGTGAAGTCCTTCACTGTAGCATATTTGCAAAGTTACAGCTATGTGGATGAAACGGTTCAGAAAGCCGGGGTACCAGGGATCCCAGGCTGCATCGAGCATGCTTTCGCCATTTGGGACACAATCCAAGAGGCCAAGAAAAACAAGGAAAGTTTAAACGTAGTGTGGTTGGATCTGGCGAATGCCTACGGGTCTGTTCCCCATAAATTGCTGATGAAGGCAATGGATTTTTTCTACGTCCACGTCCCGCAAGAGGTGCAAAACATCATGAGAGAATACTATAGTAACTTCCAGATGCGATTCTCAACCGCAAATTTCACAACGGAATGGCACTGACTAGAGATTGGGATTGCAGCTGGCTACTCTATATCGGTCATCTGGTTCATCCTGGTAATGGAGATGCTACTGAGATCTGCAGAATGCTGTGAAGAAGAAGCAAAGGTGAGATCACCAAAGAAAGCCTTTATGGATGATGTGACCCTACTGACAAGAGATGGAGACACAATGCAAAGTGTGTTGAATCGGCTCGATAAGCTTATCACCTGGGCCAGGATGAAGTTTAAAGCTAAAAAGTCTAGAAGCCTGGCTATTAACAAAGGAAAACAGAAGCAACTGAAGTTCACAATTGCAGGGGAGCAAATGCCCACAGTAAAAGAACAACCCGTGAAAAGTTTGGGTCGGTGGTACTCAGGAACTCTGTCTGATAGGAGTCAAGGCGTGGAAATCATGAAGCAAGCTGAAAATGGGCTGAAAGCAATTGACCAGACAAAGCTCCCAGGAAAGCATAAGATATGGTGTCTACAGTTTGCCCTCTACCCTCGATTGGCGTGGCCACTGACAATGTATGAAGTTGCTCTGTCAAGAGTTGAGATGATCGAAAGAAAGTGTAACAGCTACATCAGGAAGTGGCTGGGGCTACCCCGTACCATTAACACGTCATCCCTGTACAGATATAGAGGTGCGCTTCAACTACCTCTCACGTCAATCGTGGAGATCTACAAAGCAGGCAAGATTAGAACCGTTTTGATGTTGAGAGAATCAAGGGATAAGGAGATCAGTGGAAAACCTCCAGATGTCAAAACAGCCAGAAAGTGGAAGGCAGAAGTTGCAGCTAACGAGATCATCTCTGCATTGGAGCATGGTGACATTGTCGGTCCAGCGCAACCTGACAGATTAGGGCTAGGTAATGGCGACTTTAGACTTTTCAGGAAAATGTCTCAGCGAGACAGAAGAAAAGCTGCAACAAGACATATGCAAAAGATGGAGGCAGAGAGGCGAGAAATTCATCTCATCCAGTGTAGCCAGCAAGGACAAATGACCAGATGGGAAGAGCATTAGCGGAAAGAAAAGTCGGGTGGAGTGACATCTGGAAGTGGAATACATCAAGGCTGAGCTTTCTTCTCCGGTCTACGTATGATGTTCTGCCTTCACCAGTGAACCTTGTCAGATGGAAGGTACAGGAGGACAACAAGTGTAGATGCGGTAAGCTAGGAACCATGAAGCATATTTTGTCAAACTGCAACCTGGCTCTTAACAGATACACTTGAAGGCACAACGAGGTGTTGAAAGTGCTCACGACAATGGCGACACAACAGGTGGAAGAAGGAAAATATGCCCCCAAGATACAGAAGCATGGTCCCACCAAGATTGCGTTCGTTCCGCAAGGAAGCAAGGTTGCCAAAAGAAAGAAAGCGAACGAAGCCATGAAAGACCAGAGCGGAGGCACATGGGAGGTAGCTGCTGACTTAAAAGGCTTTGAGAGATTCTTCCCCATTCCAACTACGAAAAAGCCAGACATTGTGTTATGGGAGGAAAAAGGCAAAGAGGTGCACTTGGTAGAGCTCACGGTGCCCCACGAGGACAATATCTATGCCGCTCATGAGCGGAAAGAAAACCGTTACGAGGCACTCGTCGAACAATGTGAGGAGGCAGGATGGAAGGCAACCCATTTTCCGGTAGAGGTAGGATGCAGAGGTTTTGTGGCAACAAGCGCCCGTAAGTGGATGAGAGTGGCAGGACTTACTGCAAAGAAAAGCAACGAACTCACAAACTCCCTTCAGGAGACAGCAGAGAAAGCCAGTCACTGGATCTGGTTGAAGCGAGAGGACTCAGGCTGGAATGAATCCTAAAGTTGGCAGCAGAGGAAAACAGTCGAACTAACATGGAGACCTCACATCGGTGAGGGGGCTCGGTGCGTCAGAAAGAGAGGAAGAGCCCGAAACAGCGACGCATTCTCTCCTGACGATCTCCATGCTAGAGTCCGGGATACGGAGCGTTCGACGGTGAGCAGTGCATACGGCTGTTTAGACTACGTACTGGTAAACACTTTTCTTTAATTGCTGATCTTATCCATTGAATTAAAAAAATGTTGCTGAACATTTTTTTCGTGTTATGTAATTCTCTACACAAGTGGTTTTTAACTAATTTAACCCAAGTTTTTTATAACTTTTGCTTCAGACTTGGACTAGAGGCTCTCAAGGAAGAGAACTTGTCAGACTGGTATTCTCAAGTGATTACTAAGTCTGAACTGATCGAGTACTATGATGTCAGCGGCTGCTACATCCTCCGCCCATGGTCTTTTGCCATCTGGGAAACCATCAAGGACCAATTTGACACTGCCATCAAAGAGATGGGAGTAGAGAATTGCTATTTCCCCATCTTTGTCTCTCATAGTGCCTTGGAGAGAGAGAAGACCCATATAGAAGACTTTGCTCCTGAGGTAGGCCTACCTGAAAATTATAGTTTTATTATGAAAATTAAAAAGAATTAGAACGTGTAAATACCTTTTCTGCTCCAGTTTCAGTACAGTGCACAGGTAATTGGGCTGACATTAATTGTCATAAGTCCGTTTGAGAAGAAATATATATATGGCAGTAAAGGACAAAATATTAAATCTTTGATCTATTTTTAATGATCTATTGGCTTTTGTTACAATTCAGGATTTTTGTGGCAATAGCAAAGAGCCAAGCTAAAGTTGTTTTTATGAAATTGTTTTCCTCAGGTCGCTTGGGTCACAAAGTCTGGACAATCTGAACTTGCCGAGCCAATTGCCATCCGCCCCACCAGTGAAACAGTCATGTATCCGTCATACGCAAAGTGGATCAAGTCTCACCGAGATCTTCCCCTCAGGCTCAACCAGTGGTGCAATGTTGTTGTAAGTATCTCTGGCTACTAACTTAGATGTTTATAATGGAATGGTTGTTCTTTTTAGAAGTTTTTGAGTTTTTTAAAGGATATTTTATAGGCAGAGCAGTTTCTGTCCCACATTTTTGTAAAATTCATTATAAATTAAGACTGTATAGTTCAATACCTAAAAAGAAAAAAATGTGACCATATTTTTAATGACATTTTTTATGCCTGTTATTTTGGTGTTGTCAGTTTTCTTAATGCCGCAATGATGCTATGAATTGTTAGTTGTTAGTGTTGTGTCCTCTGAGTTGTATTCAGTGATAGTTGTATTCAGTGATGTTAGTTACATCCATGTAAAGTATACAATCGGTTCAGTCGTAAGAACCTTGTTCATTATTGGCATAGTTTGTGTTTTATCTTTTGGTACTTACTACTGTTTTGTGACAGTGATCTCTAGGCCAGGGCAAGATCGACGGCAAAAAGACTCGAGGCCTCGATTCCAAAACTGAAAAAGAATCGAGGAATCGAGTCCGATTTTCGAGTTTAGAAGCTGCTTCAAGTGGGCTGTTTAGAGAGGCCATGACTTGAACACTGCTAAAAATAGCTCTTAAGATCGAGACCTCGTATCTTGAACACTGCTAAAAATAGCTCTTAAGATCGAGACCTCGGGTCTTGAACACTACTAAAAATAGCTCTTAAGATCGAGACCTCGAGTCTCGAGTTTGACAGGCGTGGCTGGCTAAGGCTGCGCTCGTGCCAAGGCAAGTTGGCTTTCACGCATTTGTGTGTGTGTGTGTATCGTGTGTGTTTGCGTGTGTGTGTGTGTGTGTGTTTGGGTGTGGATGTGTGTGTGTGTAAGTGTTTGTGTGTTTGGGTGTGGATGTGTGTGT